ATCCTCCGGTACTCTGAAGTACACCCGCTCAGTAGTACTGCGTAACGCCGTTGTTTGCTCCTGTAAAACGGATGGTACTCGGCGCCAGTGATGTAGTGCGATGTGAACGACAGCGTCCGACTAACCGTGTAGACGCTCGGTACTCCGTGGCGGCTGCAGCCGACGCTCCAGGCGGCCACTCCGGCCAGCACGTACGAGCCATCGGCGGAGCGACAGGCCAGCGGGCCGCCGGCGTCACCCTGTGGGAGACAGGCGGGGTAAACAGCAGGCCAGAGGACTGGGTGAGCCAGGCAGGCCAGCGGGCCGCCGGCGTCACCTGAAGGACAGAGGGGGTGAGGGGTGAGTGGAGAGACCAGAGGACCACCGACGTCAACCTGTGGGAGACAGGGGTGAGGGTGAGTGGGAGAGACTAGAGAGCTGCCGGTGTCACCCTGTGAGACAGGGGGTAGGGGGTGAGTAGACAGACCAGCGGGCCGCCGGCGTCACCCTGAGGGGTAGAGAGGCAGGGGTGAGTGGAGAGACCAGAGGGCCGATCACAGGCGTCGCCGTGCGGCACACGGCGAGGCAGGGGTGAGCGGACAGACCGGCAGGTGGCGCTCGGTAGTGGTCCGCGATACCATACCGAGCGGTCGCGAGCACCCCTCTTCTCTGCATAGTCTCAACCGGAGGGTGACTGCATCTTTCTACCCAAATTTATTTTGAGTCAGCTGCGCCCCTCTCCCCGTCTTATCTCTTGTCGGTGTTTGTTCTCCTTTATCACCCTCAAATTTTGGCTCTAAAGTAGGTGTCTGCATTTCTGGATTACTTATTTTATCACGCCTGCATAACTCTCTCTTCCCAGCTTACATTATCAATGATTCCATCTCGCTCCCCTCCTGATTCCTCTGATGCCAGCTCCTTACCCTCCGCACTCACCCTACACGCGTCAGCATCTTCTTCTCCGCCGGCACAGAGCATGCTGTCGTCCAGCCGGAAGAAGTGTCCCAGGTGGGTGTCTCTCAGGTTCTGTACACAGACGTCCCGGTTCACCACGGGCACCTCGACCCTCTCCATCCGCTCCGAGTAGTTACCTGACGAGCAAGATTGATATCCGGAGCTCAGGTGCGGTTGGTGACGGCAGTAGCCCTAATCATGTGTTATGTAACCATGTTGTTTCGAAATAAAGTTCAAGGGTGTAGTATCGAGCTTTAAAGACTCCGGTTAGCTTAAAAGGCTGGTGGATTGTCTCACGTTTATCAAACTATTTGATTGTTTATCTTGATAATCAGTTAATTTGATGGTATCTTTGAAAATCATAGCTTTTGTGACTCAAAGGGAAGCTTTACCGATTAATTCAGCAGCTTATCGACGCATGAGCTTCTAATGCTAAGCATTTTAGCGCATGTAAGTATTTTGTGGACATCTTTGCTGCTTAAAGTCAGCAGACGGTTCAAGAGATGCTTATGCCGAGACCGTTGCATAACAGTACTTTGCTTTCAGATGTCTATATAGTTTCTTTTTCTTGTCGCATTAATCGAAATCCCATTGGGAGTCGTAACGATCCCGGTCAATTGCTGTTCACCACTCACCGACGAAGGCCGGTTTGCCCCAGCCAGAGATGATGCAGCGGGCGCCCTCGAAGCGCTGGTCCTGCTCCGGCAAACAGATGGGCTGCACGTGCGCGTCAAACTGGATGCTTCCCACCAGGCGCATCACCACAATGTCGTTAAACAGCGCTCCCGTACCTGCGAAAATGACAGATGAAAAACGTCATGGTGTTGTGCTAAAAGTACAAATAATCGATTTGACGCTAATCCTTTGGCGTTAAATGTAATTAGAGCTTGTCAATTTGTAGGCATTGATTAAGAAAAACTTTGCCGAAAAATAAGCTCAACCTTACGCATAATATTGGTTGATATGATTCATTTATGAGACAGTTATAGAACCAGTATAACGCCTTTTGGGGCGACTAACGGAGCGAGCGGAGGGTGGGCCTTGCACGTGCGAAATTGCGAGGGGGTAACTCCAACTGACTTGTGCACGGCACCCTACTAACCGGTCTCTAGCGATGTGCCAAATTTGGGCACAATCGGCCCAGCCGTTCTCGAGATCTGGAAGCGGCACCCTGCACGTGCGCACGTGCAAAATGGGTCCCAACTGACTTGTGCACGGCACCCTACTAACCGGTCCCTAACTGTGTACCAAATTTGAGCGCAATCGGTCCAGCCGTTCTCGAGATCTGGAAACGACCCCTGCACGTGCGCACGTGCAGTAGCACCCGAACTCTGGCACATGGATATGCATTGCCTAGTGGGTGCCTACCTACATGCCAACTTTCAGCGCAATCGGCCTAGTAGTTACCGAGATATTGCAACAATTCCAAAACTGACACCTCTTCGTTTTTTGCACGTGGCACGCGCATAAGGGGTCACCCACATGCATCGGGAATAGTCCAATACTTGGTAGAAGGAATGAAGCTACCCTACAAAAATTACCGCATGTAAATCGGTCAAGTGTTGCTGAGATATAAGCCTCGCAAAAGCGTCCGCACGGCCGGCCGGCCGCCGCTATACTCAGAAATTTCCGTTAATCTATGTCCGTGAAGTTAGCGTCAGCAACAGCAACGAATACAGCGTCGGATTCAGAATCGCTTAAAAAACTCATATTAAGTCAATTGGGGGACGGGGAGCAGGAATATGACCTTTATTTGACCCTAGCTCTTACCCCTTACCCCTTAATCGGCCCTTAAAGGAAGGGGCGCGTCAAAAGTGCCTCAAGGGTTCGTCTGATCGCCAAAATAAGGGTCGCAATCGATTCCCCGGGTCAATATCTAGCCGCAGCCTCGGTTCCAGATGTGTGCAACTTACCCCTTACCCTTAATCGGCCCTTAAAGGAAGGGGCGCGTCAAAAGTGCCTCAAGGGTTCGTCTGATCGCCAAAATAAGGGTCGCAATCGATTCCTCGGGTTAATATCTAGCCGCAGCCTCGGGTTCCAGATGTGTGCAACTTACCCTTACCCCTAATCGGCCCTAAGGGGTAAGGGGTAAGTTGCACACATCTGGAACCCGAGGCTGCGGCTAGATATTGACCGGGGAATCGATTGCGACCCTTATTTTGGCGATCAGACGAACCCTTGAGGCACTTTTGACGCGCCCCTTCCTTTAAGGGCCGATTAAGGGGTAAGGGGTAAGAGCTAGGGCCAAATAAAGGTCATATTCTTGCTCCCTGTCCCCCAATTGACCTAATATGAGTTTTTTTAAGCGATTCTGAATCCGACGCTGTATTCGTTGTTGTTGCTGACGCTAACTTCACGGACATCGTTAATCTAAGGAAAGACTCCGCTCGCTTCGCTCGCTCCGTAATTACCCAAGAAATAAATACAGTGAGTAGATCTATCGTATTACAATACAACGATATCCACCGACACTTCGTTCAATGCCACGTAACAGCCCAAAATGTCTACGACGCACCTCAGATAAGGCTTCATTACCTATGACAATACGTTTGTCACGTCGGTCTCTCTAAACATTGTTAACGCCGCCGTTTGTGACATTAACACCTTGATTGAGGAGCTGGGGTGATACTGCACGACGCCACGGCTCGGCCAAGGCCGCCGGCGGATGTTCTGCTTACGTGGGTGTGTTCTGATGGAGTAGACGTCCAGGTCCTGGTGGGCAGCGGCTCGCTCTCCTGGTGGATGATGTAGTCGCCCACCCGAACGTAGATGTCCGTGTTGTGGTACCTGCCGGCAGCATGATCAAAATAGAACTGACTGCTCAAAAGGGCGGATTTGTCGTCAGGAGTTTGAAGGGCTTCTTTTAAAACTGCATGCCATGATATTGACAAAATTTTTTTTTTTCTTCCCACGGGCAAAACTTAAAGCATTACTTTTGTAACGTCTTGCTTCTTTGACAGCTAAATCTGGCTTAAATGCTATAGGGTAAAGCCCGATTTGGTACTTACATGTTGAGTACTTTGCACAGTCGAACCTACGTAAAAATTCAAATCATAGCCGCGTAATGCTCAGACTGGAGATGGTACTGTGAGTTATAAAACCGTTCAGGAGACTGATTTATAACTTGTCAGCTAACACGAGCGCCGTGTCGGCAGCCCGAAATGTTTACTGACGAGCATTATCTGTCGGATTAGCACATATTGTTCAGTCTACGGACGTCATTCAGGCTCGGTGAAGCTGGCGGCATCTTATTGTGACTTGGAGAGCCGGCTTGGCAAAAAAGAGCTTATTTATGAAAATATGTTCTCAACCGAAAGACGTCAGCGGATCAAATGGCGGCAATAGAACATGAAATGTAAGAATTAATAAAACGGTAGAGGTATAAAATATACGCATTGTGTATGCGCATTACGCATTGCGTATGCGTGGTGGTCGGCTTGAGCAGCTCCCTGAGCGCCCCTAAGCTGAGCTTCTGAAATCACGCCATCTGCATTAAAAATCAATATATTATACCTCTGATAAAAGTAGTAAGAACCGTAATTATGAAGTTAACGATTTACGCAGATAAGTCAGTGGCTGTTGATATTTAATAAAAAATGTAAATCCAAGTGTATGCAGCTTAAAAGAGGAAGTGGAGTGGTGGTAAATATTTCATATTCATAAACCAACGTGATTATGAGCAGGTTCGAAGCTGAGCGGAAGGACTTAAAAATGTAATAATGTTGAGCGCAGTGCCCAAAGGTTAGAATGTTGTTGTGACTTTTGAGTGCAGTGCTTTATGCTTGATGGTGCAGGTGTTTTTTTGTCCTTTTGCGCGCAGTGCTCAGAGGTAATAATATTTGTCCTTACTTCTGAGTGCAATGTTCAGAGATAACACTGATGTGTCCTTACTTTTGTGTTAAGTGCTAGGAAGTGAGAATGTTTTGTCCTTACTTTTGAGTGCAGTGCTCGGAGGTGAGGACATTTTAGCGCTGACGATGGTGCCTCCACAGATGAAGCGATTCGTGCCCTTCTCGAAAATAGTCGCCTGCCACGGAATCTCGCCTGCAATAGCATGCAAAAACATCGACAACCGTTGAAACGTAATTCAACAACCATTATCATCCAATGTTTACATACATCAATCCAAGTAAGTCCAAGACACCGATAAATAAAGCGAAGCCCGTGTAAAAGACTCTTAAGTGACCTGAACGTCACGTTACCTTTTAACAGACCACAGACAGTTTCACATCTCTTTCCCAAAGCACTTCCATCACGACGACCCCAGCCCCATGTCACGGAACGGGATCGCCCGGACTCACCGAACAGCGTCTCGCGCGCGTGCTTGTCCTCATCCCCTGGCAGACGGATGTGGTGGCTGTGGCCGCAGCGGGCACTGGCGTGGCGTATCGGCCGGCCACTCGGGGTCCGGCTGGCGGCAGCACACGCCCCGACCGCCGAACGGCACGCGGCAATACTGCATGGGGGAGGGTTAGGTCAGATACGGGGCACAGGTGCAGGTTAGATACGGTACGCAGGGCGTCGGGGAGGCTAGGGAGAACACGGAAGTATTTCAGCGTTATGTTGATGGAAGGGTCAGCGTCTGTTGAGAGTTGAATTATGACTGAATTATTCAAATAAGAATAAAGACCATTTTATATATAAAAAATGCATTGGCTGGATAGAAAGTGTATTGAATGTATACTTATAGTTAGTTTAAAATTTAAACAGCTCCCGAAGGCCAATACGGGTAAAAAAGCAGAACAGGAAAAATGTAAAAAAATGACTGTAACCGGGTAGCTGAACTCAAAACTATTGTAGGTATAAGGACAAACAAATCGGGAGTGAGCTTTTCTTATTCTCAGGACATCTGGTGGCGGCAGAATTCTGTTCTGAGAGCACGGGACGTCTAAACGGCCTTGCCGTTCCATCACTGCAGCAACAGCCTTCAGCTTCGCAGAATCGTCGAACCTTTCCGAGAACACTCGGCAATAAACTGCGACGAGGCCGTCCATCTCCTCGACACACGATAGGCGTACACCGTACATACGAGCGGCTAAGCCCATGAGTGTTTAACAGCGGCAGTGCAGCTGTGGCGAACACAAATGGGCGCGGGAGAAACGTAAAATCCGTCACGGACGAGCCGCAGACGCTGTGACGCTGTCAGAACTGCATCAGATGATATATAGCCCGCTGGCCGCCGCCAAACGGATAAGAGGTTTGTTCGTGGTAAACCTCGAAAAGCTTTAACCACAGATGCTAGTGGACGTCACTGGGATCAACGAAAATATATAATTACAATTATATTCATTTGAATTATTGCATGGCTCTACAAACATAAGCACACATCTCACCGTTTTGAATGATCCCAGTTGATCCTTCTTGGCGGGATTGCTCGCCTCTATTTCCTCGTCAGTCATTATGAAGCCGTTGTCTCCGCAGAACTGTGATTCGACGCACTCTTCATTAAAATTGCAAAGAATCTCTGTCCCCTTTCTTTCATGGCAGCAGATTCCCGAAGCACCGGACTGCAGGCAAGACTGCAACAGAGGATAGAAACGTGACGATAAGAACGAGAAGCTATCCGACACTGATTTAGTAACAACTGCACGGTAGTTTTACACTCTGAGATAGAACGGGAGGGGCGGTGAGTCGTCTGATGTCCATGGTGTGGGCAATAAGCTAAGCAAGCGGAGAGCGCTGCTACATCGTACCTTGCAACTCTCCGCGAGAGTGAGACGGATGATCCGCGGTCCACGATCAGCGGATTTACAAACAAATGCACTAGCATTTGTTTGTACTCGTGGACTGTTTACGGCGGTGTTTTGCTGAGAATATTAAGAACAGATATGGGCTGTTTTCTATTAATGTCTCCTTGTGTGCACTATTTAAGCGGAGTATGTGATGGCATTTAAGCATCAAAGCTGGTCTTCGCCCCCTTGTTTTCTTACCTGGGCTGCGGCAGAAGAAGACCGCGATCTGTTGACGGGGCTCTTGGTATGACAAAGCTGACGCTGAACACATTCGAGCTCCTCAGGGCATTTGTTCGCCGTTTTGATGATTTCTGACCCGGTTGTCGTCTCCCCAGGTCGACCGGTGGAAGGTTTAACTTTGACGATTGGTTTGGGTCGGGGAGACGCTGGTTTAGAGTCGGATGTTGACGGCTTGGGCTTAGGAGGCTCTGTTCAAGACTTTCAGTTGGTGGTTGAGTTTTTATGGTTTCTGGCTCAGTTTCGACAGTTGTCGCTACTGGTGTAGAAGTTTCCGTTTTGAGGCCAGTTGCCGTTGGTTTAGGTTGAGGAATCGGATCCAGCTTCTGAATTGACGCTTTCGACGGACTTGGCTGAGACCCCACTGTTGATTCGAGGCTCGGAGTCGGTTCAGGACTGGGAATCGGTTCAGGGCCAGGGGCTGGTTCAGGCCTGGCAGCCGACTCGGCACTAGATACTTGCTCAGCCTTAGGAGTTGGTGTAGATTTTGGAGTCTGTTCAGAACTAGGAGTTGGTTTTGGGCTAGGGGCTGGCTCAGGGCTGGGAATCGGTTCAGGGCTAGGGTTCCGTGCAGGGCTAGGAGTCGGCTCAGGGCTAGGAATCGGTTCGGGGGCAGGGGCTGGTTCGGACATGAAAGATGATCCATTGCTGTCTGTCTGTTTAGCCTCATCAGGTGATCCAGGACTAGAGATGGGTTCAGAGCTGACAGCTGATCCGGGACCGGGGGCAGTTTGTCCAGCCGGTGTCTGTGGTGGCCCGGTCTGAGCCGATTCCGAGGCGGACCGGTCGCCGGCAGAGCCACAGCACACTCCGAGAGCACCCCCGGCCGTCACACAGTTCTGCAATAAAGACACGCGGCCAGGCGAGGGTGAGCCAACCATCACGTCGACGGAAACGGAGACTAAATTTCAGCGGCATGCGATAAATACTTGTTCAAGGTTGTTGCGTCGGAAACGCAGAATTAGGCATGTATGCAATGTACGTGCATTAGGTTTGCAAAACAAAGCATTTATGGGGTTACATAAGCGCGCACGCACAATACTAAAACCATTTGGATAATTTCACTCAGTGGCTTAGTGGTTTAAACCAAATAGTTCATTGAGTTCAAACAAAGATATAGCGATATTTTTAACGGGCTACTTTCCGAAGGCAGATTTCTTAAACGGTATGTGCAATAGCTATCAAATTTCACGTTGGGTTGCAATATGAGGCAATGCATCCTTATGAATCGCTGTCGTCAATGATTGGGGATCTTAAATTACCCAATACCCAGCTTATTTTTCCATAAGCGTTAATCCCGGAGCGAGATCTAATTCAAAGACTTGTTAAGTCATATTACAAACTCATAAAAAAAAATCATTTTTGTATGTTCCCGGAGAAAAAAAGGCATAATTTTCTATAAAACCGTTATTACCTTCAAACAAACCAGTTTCCAAGGACCGTTAGATGTAGAGTGGAGAAAGTAAACGTTTTATATGACCCAATTTAATAAACTCAATCTTAGATTGCAACCAACAATGATCATTTTGGTTGTTCATTGTTCACAGCAAGGCGAAAGGCGATCTTGCTATTTAAATCACTTACCAGAGTTTCTGTTACTTATCTTAAAGAGTATGAACCGCTCTATTTAAATCACTCTTTAAACCATTCATTCGCTCTCAACCTCAGGTACATAACACCCTCTTAGATCCTTACCTCGCCAGAAGGGCTCGTGACCATGTCGCAGTTATCAGTCTTCTTCAAACAAACGGAGCCCGAGACGCACTGGACAGGGTTCCACTGAGAAGGCTGAGCCGGAGCCTGCATCATTTTCGTCCCGTCAATCTCAGTTTCATCGACCGGATGATCTGGACTATCTTCGACGCTCGAGGCCTCTGGCTCGGCCGTATCCGGCGAATTTTCAACAAACGGCTGCTCCTGCTTCAATTCGGGTACAGCTTTCTTTTCTGCCCCAGTAATAGCATCATTCAGTTCCATTTCGTTGTCAAGAGGTAACACATCTCTGGAAGCTTCAGCCTCAGAACCAGGAGCGTCTTCTTCAGCCAGGTTTCTCGGCTCTTCACCTGTGGTCAAACTCTCCTCTTCATTTTGCTCTGGCGTTTTTAGTCCAGTGGATGACCCAGCCAGCTTCGCGGTTTGTCCCTCCAGTCCGCTGTCGCTCAGAGCATTGGCAATGACGATCTTTCTGACAGATGCGCTGCCAGCGCGGATATCATTACTGTCATGGACGGCGCCATCAGTAGCTTGTTCAGCGCTATCCCCGTAAATCAGCAGGTTCTCTATGGACGGTAAGCTTGGGTCGGAGCTAGATGGCTCCTCCTCGACAGTACCCACAACTACCGGCTCCGGAGCAGCAGATTCAGATATCAAAGTAACGGGAGTAGATACGAGCTCATCGGCGCCGGCCTCTAAGGACTCCTTTGCGGACCCATCAGCGTTGGGAATGTTGTGTTCCTCGGAGGCTCGCGCCTGCTGCTGCTGGCTCTGAAGTCGTAAGATCTCCTCCTGTTTGTCAAGCAGCACCTTCTCCTCCTGTCTCTGGCGCAGCTGCAGGATCTGTTCGTTCTGGTTCCTCTGCTGATCCCTCAAGAACTGCTGCTGGTTCTTCAGCAGCTGCTGCTGGTCCTTCTGCTGCTGCTCCGTCAGCTGGTTCTGCCAGGACAGCTGCTTCTGCTGGTCCTCCGTCTGCTCCTCCTGATCATGCATCAGCTGCTGCCTGTCATTCAGCAGCCGGTCCTGATCCTTGGCCTGCTGATCGTACAGCTGTTGACGCTGATACTCCCCCGTTGGCTGGACGGGTTGCTCCTCGTGTCTTTCTAGGGCCTCTTCCCCGCCATGGAGTGAAGTCGGAAGGCTGCTGACTAGCGCCGCTGTGCATAGCAGCAGCAAGAGACCGGTGGAGTGCTTCATGTTTACCGCCGCGCCGTCTACCGTCGACTGACTGTCCCCCTGTCCGACCGGTTGGAGTCTAAAGCTGGTCTCCTCTGGGGCCGCCGGCTCCCCAGCGTCATCCTCTGAGTGACGTCAGTCGCGACATGACGTCATCAGTGTCACCGGCGGCGACCCCGACGGCCCTGCGGAACTGCGCCGCCGCGGGCCCAGCAATCAGCGGGGTGACTTCAGCTGTTTCAGCGGAGAACTGCCGGCTTACGGCGAAGCTACCGAGGGCTCTGAGAGCCGCTGCGGGGACAGGCAATCACCTGCCGTCGACTAACTGCGGACCCACCTGACGTAGAGCCGGATGGAGAGAGATGTCAACTGCGCTCCGTGTTTACTACTATACTGCGCAGAGGACCGGTCAAGGCTGGCACCGGCCGACGCGACGTGCCGGGCTTAGGAACGTCAATTTGGGGAAGGACAAATGCCCACCTATTGTACGCCCGAGAAGACAGCCAGCTGATAGAGCTGTCGTTACACGAAACCGCCAGCGAATCAGCGAACAAACAAGCTTATTGGAGGCGACATTCCAGTGGAGCCCAGGCCGACATTGCTCGTTTGTCCTTGGGCATCATTGACACCGGGCAGGCGTATATACGGCCCCCAGTGGCAAGTGGCCACACACGGAGGGGGTGCCATCAGCCGGCTGTCACGAGAGACGTGGCGTGCCGAATGATTTAGACATATACAGCGTTCGACACTTTGCCGGACCATCAATACCGTTTTACGAGGGGATGGACCTCGAGAGGCTGTCAGAAGCCGGCGCACAAGGACGCCAGATAGTCAGGGCTTGCGAGTTGCGCAACAGATTGTCGCGGAGGCGCGGAAGGAGAGACGACTGAGCGGGCCGAGACTTGTATTGCAACTGTGGTTCTGATTCTGATTCGCCAGTGCCTGTGCGTTATATGCATGGTGGTTGCACAATGAAGGACCGGTCCGCCGACCCGCCGGGTCGGTGGACGGTGCCGACACGTGGGGAAAGTGACGGCTATTTCTATGTAACAAAGCTTGAACGTGTACTCTTTATCACGATATGGAAGAAGGGAATCGGTCCCACATTATCTTCCCTCCCCCAGGGAAGCGTAGGGAACCGAAGCGATCATAACAAAGAGAGGAAACGTTTAGCTGACGGAGAAAGAAATTTCCATATGAGCGTATCACAAAATGGTATGAACAGATAAGTAAGTTTCGTGACAATTACACCTACTACCGGGCGATCCCTCCGCACTCTTGGCGGGGACCGTCCCTGGGCATCTCCATGGCCCTCGGCATCTCTGGCCGAATATCAATACAATATAATTTCAGTGAATTGACAACGATTAACGTATTTGAATGTTCATACCGTTCAGAGTATGCTCTTTCTACGTTTACTAGTGTCAAAATGACACGGCAAAGTGCAGGCAAAATTTAAATGCACTTGCAATTTCTCCGTAAATTTTGGGGTGAGCAACCACAATGAAGCGCAACAAACGACAAAACACTGACGAAAACGGATAATGAAACAGTATGGTTTTGAAACACAATGAAGTTAAAACAAATTTCACAGCACAATTTCACTGTCACTTTTTGACGAAAATACAGCAAAAGTTCATGATGGGTGAATTTTCTTGATTTCGGTGCCAATTTGTCTTGAATTTAGCGTTGAAGTTTTTGTTTTATCTTCTCTCCTTCGAGCTTGAGTCCTTCAGCGAGGTGGTGTCCATCACTCGATGACGGTGAGGAGGACGGCGCGGACTGATGAGCCGTGCGCTGTCGGCGGGCTCCGTAGTAGTCCAGGGTAGCTGATGACCTTGCCGCAGGGCAGATAGTCTTGCTGGGCAGAGCTACTCACTGGAGACGGTGCTGCTGGACGATGACGAGTCCAGGATGGTCAGCTCCCTAGTCGATGACGTGACGTAGGGGCGATACACCGTCACAGAGCACGGACTAACCAGACTGCGATGTCAGTGCAGATGTAGAGGCTGGGGTCCGTGGTGAGGGGCACAAGTCCCCTCGACCGCCGCTGCCACCATTATCGCGGAGGCGCGGAAGGAGAGACGACTGAGCGGGCCGAGACTTGTATTGCAACTGTGGTTCTGATTCTGATTCGCCAGTGCCTGTGCGTTATATGCATGGTGGTTGCACAATGAAGGACCGGTCCGCCGACCCGCCGGGTCGGTGGACGGTGCCGACACGTGGGGAAAGTGACGGCTATTTCTATGTAACAAAGCTTGAACGTGTACTCTCTTTATCACGATATGGAAGAAGGGAATCGGTCCCACAGCGGCCCCTGCGGTAGACCCAGGTCCCCGACAGGACGAGCCGGCCTACAATCTGAGGCCGCGCCATCATATACGGCCGCCAGATAGATTCCGCCAGTGAGCGGACATGAAAAGGCATGCTAGATTAAGGAACGCGTTCCCTTGTACATATCCCCGTTAGGATAAGATGATAATTCGTCACTGACGACAATGATTACAATTGCTAATGTTCACGATATATCATATATATCTGTTGAATAATTTTTGAAATGATTTGTACGCCGTACGTTCAACCGATAACATTAAAAGACCCGTTCTTTTTCAGGTGCTTGGAGAAAACCGTGGTACAATCATGCAGCACCCACTTCCAAAATTATTCATTGTACTTCAGTATATCTCGTTCTCTTTAGGCCTATACCATATATGTTACTATCATCGTACCACCGAATGGTGCGCAATCGGAGATTTCGACCCTCCCGTGCTGGAACTGCCCGACAACATTTGTGCCGTGGAACAATGCCCAGAACACCAAACTTGTTTAATGTGCTCCGACTGCCCCGTCGTTAATTGGGTAACTTTCGCTCAACATAAAGGCACGCTGTATGCCCCGACACATTTTCTTTCTCAACCGCATTTCGAAACCAATGGGACCCATGCTGCCTATGATTGTACCAGACGGTTAGACGACGACCGCCGACGCCAGGCAGAGGTCTGCAATTGTCCTGAGACGCAGCCCTGCCACGGCGACGAAGCATTTTGTAATAAGCTTCCCTGTGATAATCAGTCTTCATGCTCTTGTGTTACCCGCTTTGCTAGTTTCCATTCTTATCTGCAAATTTCCCATGATTTTGGATTCGAAGACCCTCTTCTAGTGTCATTCAAAGCTTGTTTTTACCAAAGCCCAATCAACTTGGCACCCGCTAGAAAACTTCTAAGCGTAGACACTGCCAACTTTCAAAACGATTTCGCCGAAATTATTTTTCATGATCCTGTTTTTACTTTCAATACTTCAGGAACTTTCATCGCCAGGAAAGATGGCCTCGAAATTATCCATACTGTTTCAGATACCGATCGCCAATTTGTTCTTCCAACTGAACTACGTTACACAGAAGGCACGTTATCGTTTACGTTTGTTTCCCCCGATGGTAACGTTTTGTCTGGCTCAGTTTTGATCCCCAGTTCTACTCGATGTTCTAGAATCTCCTGTACTTTTTGCAAAGAAATGTTGTTGAATCTTTCATGCCTACCCCACACCATTCAGTACTTAGTTTATGGATTTATCATCATTGTTTCTGGTCTAGTTATCATCTACGTTCGATCTGCCTGTAACGCTATTTTCAGTATACTTCGTACTATTTGCTACATTATCTTTGGCATTTACCGTCTTGTCCGTTCTTGCTTCCGCCTTCTCTACGAACGGGCGCTGTAGCTGGCCATACATCCCGCCGCCAGATTTCTACAGCCTTCTCTAAAATCTCAAAATTTGCCGATTCACCCAATCAGGTACAGACACCACCCGCTCCTAAATCTATGCAGCTTAAGTATAGTGTGGTTATTCTTATTTGTTTTTTACCGCTCATTCTGGCTTCTTCTATTCACGATGACTGCAATGAACTCAAAATAATATTCTCGTATATCGCAGTGTCAAACACTGCCAACAGGTAAGCAATCCTGTGTTATCTCAGGGCAGGCACAGCTTAGTCTGAGTAACATAGGTTCTACGACTTGCATGTTCTTTTCGGACGACAGTGGCGCCAATGTTTATTACATTCGGATTAAATTTGAAGACGTCTATTGCCAATGGACCACAATTCACCAATATTATACTTTTCCGGTTTCCGTTGAAATTTCTTCCAAGTTGATATGCCCTAACTTTGAGTATTGCAGCTGGGGAGCCAAATGTGTTCCTCGGCGAGAATACTTTCCGGAAATCACCAAAGAATCACTTTCATGGCCCGGCATCACGTCATGCATTTCTATTCCAGCAAAAACTAGATTTTGTGGCGTCATTCATTATGATCCCTGCCTTCATTTCCGCTGGTACCTACTCCCACAGTACAATGCCACCTATCGTGTTGATAAGATTACAGGGCATACTTGTCAACCAATCATTACAATTTCGGAAGCTATCGACAATCGTTTAGTCAATACCACGACATCCGATCAAGTTATTACAAATTCCGGCATTGAACTGAATGTCTTAGGTACTTATGACCAGCCCCTATCCCTGCCATCCCCATACCTCGTCCAAAACGTCCATGACTTTTCTGACTCACATCTGGAATCCGCTTCTTCTCCATCTCAGCCTACCCAGGTCAATTGGTGACATTCAGGCCCCCAAACCGCTGTCTACCGATTTTATTTTTAGCCCCCTCATGGTTGACTGCACTAACTACGAAACAACCCTTCGATGCCATATCCCTCAAAGTTACATTTCGGTTATCCAAAATCAGCGTCCTAATATCCTTCCTCGCGCCGTTCATAACCACCACCTTTACATTAATTCGGACGGTGTTTTGCAATCTAAACTACTTCGGAGTGCCCCAGTAAATATTCACATACGCTTCAATGACATGTCCCTTGCCATATCCCATTACAAAATTTGTCCTCGTATTGAATCGATTGATTCAGTCACTGGGTGTCATTCATGTCCAGTGGCTGCCAAAATTATCATACGAGCCAAATCCATCTGCTCTCCAGGTACGGTATCCGTATCCTTCAATAATATCCCACTTTCATCCCGTGCAGTGGCCTTATCCACTGACA